ACTTTGACAGCTTCGTGTGGGGCTAAACATCTCTGATATGGTCCTGCCTTCGAACGTTTAAACAAAACATCATCAATTAATAAAAACTTTGTTACCTTTGACAGGAGTGCCCTTGCTTCTCTTTTGTCACTTGGCAAGATGTTGTGTTTTAGGTAATCTATGTATGGCTGCATCCAGTTGTTGTCTGCGGTTGACTCAATGATGTTGACCACTTCCGTCCTTTCAATGGCTGGTTCTATCACGTGGACAAGTGGTATGTTATCAATGTTTCCTGCCCCCAGACATGATCCGATTGCTGCTAAGGCGTCGGCTTGGACGTTTTCTTCTCTTGGGATTTGCTCAAAGGTGATGTCGTCAAAGGTGTTAGCTAAGTTGGTGACGATTTGTAGGTACGCCGACATCTTTGGATCTTTAGCTGCATAAACTCCGTTGGCTTGATTAATAATTAAAAGGGAGTCGCATTTTACCTCGATTGCTTTTATGCCCATGTTTTGAGCTAAGTTCAGCCCGAAAATTAGTGCTTCATACTCCGCTTCGTTGTTTGTTGCGTTGAAATCACATCTGACAGCTTGTACTATATTGCCCCCTTGTGGCGACTGCAGTACAACTCCAAGTCCGGCTCCATGCATGTTAGAGGCTCCATCGGTGTGCAGAGTCCATTTTTGTTGACGTTGGTCACCAATTAACAAACATATCTCTCTTTCTGCTTCTACTTGTAGTTTTGGACTGAAGTCCGCCACAAAATCAGCTAGAGCTTGTGATTTCAAAGCTGTCCTGGGTTCATACTTGATGTCGTATGCCCCCAGTTGCATCGACCACTTGATCATCCTACCTGTGAGTTCCGGTTTCCTCATGATAGACTTCATGGGATAGTTAGTGCGGACACAAATAGAATGCGATTCAAAGTAAGGACGTAATTTAATTGATGCTGTCACTAGTGCAAGTACTAATTTCTCTAAGAGTGCGTACCTGGTTTCCGGCCCATTTAACGACTTACTCATATAGTAAACCGGCGTCTGTTGGCCGTCTTCTTCCCGCGTTAGTACTGCACTGACGGTATGTTCTGATACTGCAAGATACAACTGTAACTCATCGCCATCTTTGGGTTTGGTCAATAGTGGCGGTGTTGTCATGTATTCCTTCAGTTGTTGTAGGGCTTTTTCGTGCTGTTCTGTCCATTCGAACTTTTTATTTTTTCTGAGGACATCATAGAAAAGCCGACACCTGTCTGACGACTTTGATATGAATCTATTGAGTGCCGCAACTCGTCCTGCCAGTTTTTGGACATCTTTGATTGACTTTGGGGATTCAATCTCTAGTATGGCTCGAACTTGTCCTGGACTAGCTTCTATTCCTCTTTCGCTGACAATGTAGCCCAGGAATTCTCCCGACGACACCCCGAACATGCACTTGGCTGGGTTAAGTTTCAGGTTGTACTCTCGTAACTTCAGGAATGATTCCCGCAGGTGTTCGACGTGGTCTGACGCTTTTTTGGATTTAACCAACATGTCGTCGATGTATACCTCCATAGTTCTCCCGATTTGATCTTTGAATATCATTGTTACCAACCTTTGGAAGGTAGCTCCTGCATTTTTCAAACCAAAAGGCATAACAACATAACAGTACGTACCTGTCTCTGTAATGAATGCGGTTTTCTCCTGGTCGTCGGGGTGCAGTTGGATTTGGTGATAGCCACTAAAAGCGTCCATGAATGTCAGTATTTCATGTCCTGCTGTGGCGTCCGCGAGCACATCAATATGAGGCATTGGAAACATGTCTTTCGGGCATGCTATGTTTAAATCGGTGAAGTCGACGCATACTCTCCACTTAGGTTTTTTGCCTTTCTGATGTCCCTTCTTTTTCTGCACTACAACGACATTAGCAAGCCAAGTTGGATATTTTACCTCACGAATTTTACCTGTGCGCAATAGCGTCTCGACTTCTTGATTTATGATGTCGTTTCTTTCTCTGGCGAAGCGTCGCCTCTTTTGCTGGATAGGCCTGTGTAAGGGGTTGACATTAAGTTTGTGGGTGATTACTTACGGATCGATACCCGTCATGTCGTCATGATCCCAAGCGAAGACGTCTTTATGTTCTTTGAGTAGGTTTACAAGTTCTTCTTCCAATTGAATCGGCATGCTGCCCCCGATGCGGACGACTCTATCCGGATGGTTTGAATCAATGCTGATGTCCTTTGTTTCGCTGTCATTTTCCCCAACCGGAATAAAGTCGCCCTTTGATTGCTATGCGGATGTTGTAGCAGAAGCGGTCGACTTCATCGCTGTTTGGTAACACGACTTGGCGGTGGCCCTATCACCCTGAATGGACTGCACCCCCCACGGTGTTGGAACTTTTACCACTTGATGGTACGTTGAAGGGATCGCTCCCATTTGGTGAAGCCAAGGTGTTCCAAGAATCATGTTGTAAGCGGGCAAGTCTTGGACAACATCAAACTTTACCTGCAAATTAAGACCAACAACATGTATGGGTAAAGATACATTACCGATTGTTTGACTGGGCTCGCCGTTGAATCCGACAAGAGTGGAGCCGGAAGCAGCTAAGTCTTCTTCCTTGTACCCCATCTGCTTCAACGTCTTCAAAGTGGTGATGTTGGCGGTGCTACTGTTGTCCACCAAAACTCGTCTCACTTCACAATTGGCCACCCTAAGGGCAATGACTAGAGTGTCATGACGGGCATCAGTAGGACTTGTATGATCTGATTCGTCGAAGGTGATGGGCGCATTTTTCCAAGCTTCACCTTTTCGGACGACTTGGTGTACCTGCGACGACTTGTCTCGGGAGTACTCCCGAGCATGTCTCTTGGCTGCAGAATAGGTTAGTCCGCATAAATCAGAACCACCGTTAATGAAATTGATTACCTTTTGAGGTGTTATAGGTGTAGGAGGTCGTTGATGTTCTGTGGATGACTTCGGATCTCTTTTTAACATTGATTTCGTTTGCTCCGACATGATTTCCGTCAGATAACCGTTCCTCAGGAGGTAGGCGACCTCCTTCCTCAAAGCGACACAATCCTCTGTGTTATGCCCGATGTCGTCATGGAAGTCACATCTCTTGCTAGGATCCCGTCGCCCATTGGGTTTGTCAGACTTTCTGGGCCACCGAACCTTGTCTCCCAATTTGTCCAAAGCATTGATAAGTCCAGTTGTAGTGACATTAAAACAATATGTCGGAATGGCAGGCGGCAGACTGGGATCGTCGAGCCAGGAAGTCGTCGAAGCAACGGGCCGTTCTTCATTCTTCGCATAAGGCTTTCCAGCCCTATAATCATGTTTTCTGGAGGTGCTGGCCTTCCGCTGTCCTCCTTCATAGCCAATCGCACGAAGTCGGGACTGTTCGTCCTCTTCGAGCCGGATGAAAGCCAAAGTCATGGCTTGGACATCTTCAAACGTCTTGCAAGGAAATTTGGTCAATTCCCTATACAAGTCTGAGTCTTCGCGCAATCCTCTTCTGAAAGCCTCTACAGCCGTTGGCGTGTCACATCTCGGAATCGACACTTTCTCCTTGTTGAATCGATGCAAGTAGTCACGTAAGGATTCATTATGTCTTTGTACTACACGATATAAGTCACTGGTTTGCTTCTCCAATGCTCGACTACTCGCAAACTGCTGGGTGAACAAGTTAACCAGATCTGCGAAGGAGTCGATGCCGCCATTCGGCAAGTTGACGAACCATGTTAACGCTGGACCCGTCAGTGTTGTCCCGAACGCCTTGCACATGCACGCTTCCCGTTGATCCGGCCTGACAGAAATAGCTAACATCCGTTGCTTGTACTGAGCGACGTGCTCTACCGGATCTGTGGTTCCGTCGAACAATTTCATAGATGGGACTGCGAATTTCTTTGGGATCTCGACGTCTGTTATATGTCGTCCGAATGGAGAATCCGCATAGCAGGTTCGTGTTGCCATGTCAAGAGGACGAGGAACCCCTGGCATGCCATTATACTTTTCTCGCAACTCTTTCAACTCTTGCATGATAAAGGCCAACGGTTCCGCCATGTCCATATGCATCTGCGGACCTCCTGCTTCGAAATACGCTCCCGCCTGAGACACCCTCTGTTCGGATGGTGAGCGTATGACGATAGTTTCCGGATGTTGCCGTCTTGGATTGCCGAAGTCGACATCTCCGATCATGTCGTCACGCTCGGAAATGTGTCGTCCTTGATGTTCAGCAAACAAATTGCGAAACACATTCCTTCTAGGGAGTGGTGCAGGACGAGATGATTGCCCCCTTCCACCTTTTGAACCGGCCAGCGAAAGGGGAATGAAGGGCTCCGTTGAAGTCGACACAGGGATAGGGATCGGCATCTGCTGGTTGACGGTCTGCATCCCCGATGTCGTCGTTTTGGTTCGCAATGAATCCGGGAAGAAGCACATGGGGATGCTTGCTTCTGGAGTTGTCGCTGGGACAAGAGGTTCATAGGGTATGAGCTGCGAGATCGCCGGGACACCTTTAGCATATGGATCAAAGTTTGAAAGTCCCGGGAAAGCTTCGGACGTGAATGTGACTGTTGAGGTTGGGACTAGTATGGAATCTACGCCCGACTTTGATGCGGCAGTCATTACCTCTTTCCCTTTTCGTGATTTTGACGCTATGGACGCCACCGATTGAACTTGGGATCTCAAGGCGTCATTTTCTCCTTGGAGAAGAGTTATTCGTTGACGCATTTCCTCTCTTACGGCCTCTAGCTGGATTTGAGTATCCTCCTTTGACTGGTTAGCCTCCTTGGCCGCACGTAATTCTTCCCGGAGGGCTTCCAATTGTGCCGCTTCGGCACTTTTGGCCGCGCGGAGCTCCTTTCGGACAGCATCAAGCTGCGCTTGCATCTCATCAAATAGGGGATTAGAGCTTCCGGCCATCGTTGATTCTTGTTTTGCAAGAATTTCCCACAGACGGCGCCAATTGTTTAAACAAGAAATAATTTATCCTAGAACGGAGTAAAAAATGGGAATCAAGCAATATAGAATCAACTATGGAAGAATTGGTAAAGAAAGGAATTTGATATATGATGAACAAGAAGAAGGATCTTCACAATATGCTTTTGAATTACAATGTAGAGACTGAGTGTATGTGTATTCGTAACTGAATGTGCTGATTACATAGAGCCTCTAGATATTTATAAGAGATACATTTAATGCACTTTTGTCCGTTGACGACATGATCCGACCGTTACGACGACATGTCCGACCGTTACGACGACATCAATATCGTCATTATTGCATCATCAATTCTGGCCAGCCCTTTGAGTAACCTATGTCATAATTACAATAACTACTCTAATTATATACATAAAACTGCCCAGATTTAATTAGCTAGCATTAATCCCAATGAATGCGTCATTGATTGCCACGGTCAACCATTTTTGAATGTAGTCAAGGCCGCCCAACTCGTGTACCAACACCTGTTATTATACTTCTAAAGTTATTTAATCTCGTGTATAACGCATAGGTAAAAATGTGGAATGACCTATCGTGAAATAAACTTCATAACTAGATCTTTATGCCAAAAATTCAAATCAAAAGAAAAGTTTAACAAAGTAAATCTCTAGAGATGCCAAATGTTTTAAACTCGAACGGTATTCAGTAATCTAGTTAAGTTGTGGTTATAGCTGTTACTCTTCCACAGTTCCACTTATCAACTTTCCGCCAAAGTAAAATTCGAATATGTTTTCTTTATAAAAAAAATCGAATATGTTAAAAATCATTAACAACCTCTACCGATGTGCCACGTCATTCACAACATTCATGTGCGTCAAGTTTTTCTCTTTGTTTTCTCTAAAACCAAATACGAAGTCAAAATAAATGAATAAAAATTCCGTGCAAATTTAAATTCAAATAAAAAGGGGAGAAATATAAGTAATCCTGCTGTGTAATAATCTGCCAAAAATAAAAGAGTCACTGCACCCACTCCCCACCTTGTCCCCTCTCTTCAATTTCTCTCTATACCTAATTGCTGTTTCTCTCTCCAGAAAGGGAAGAAGACAAACCAACGCATTTCGCTTCTCTTCACTCCGGACATGCCGGAACTCGCGACCGTACACTGACTCCGGCGGACATATATATAAAGGGATCGGAATCAACTAGATGAGGTGTAAGAAACATCAGTCGGACCTGAGCAGCGGCGTCGGCGTTTGCGCGTCTTGTCTCCGGGAGAAGCTCTTCGCCGTGATACTAGCTCAGGCTCAAGCCGAAGCCCGCATTCAGCACCGTGGATTTCAGGAAGAGGGGCGCAAGTCCGACGCCAATCAGCCGCCGCCGGCTTTGTTGTTTCCCCGCTCTGTTTCGCCCTATATTTCTCGCCATAAATCTGACATCTCGAATTGGAATCAAAACCGCCAAGCTAGCCACCGCAGCTGGGCTGATCAGAGATTCTTCAGCACTCCTCAAGTCGGAGCCCAAGGGAAAGTAATCGCCGGGGGGGATTACGGTAAGAAGAAGAAGAAGAAGAGTTACGGGTTCTCTCTGTTTAACAATCTGTTCGGATCTAAACCGGGGAAGCCCGATTCGTACTCGGATCCCACGTTCCCCAATTCGGATCCGGGGGTCTCGAATTCGGAACCCCCGCGTGCCAGTACGTCGTCGTCGTCTTGGTTTTCGGCAATTTTCTCGGGTCGTCGGAAGAAGCAAAATCAGGCGTTTTCGGTAAATGAGGACGCCTCCGTCGGGCGGCGGCGGGTGAACTGTCAGAATAGAGATCGCGGATTGTCCCCCGTGAGGTGCTCCGACGACGAGGAAGACCAACATTGCCGCGGGGGATCCAGCGGGTACTCTTCGGAGTCTTCGCAGGGGTGGAAGCAGACACCAAGGCGGACCCCGGCGTCTTCATCAAACCGGAGAGCAGGCGGAAGATGCAACCGCAACCGGAACGCCTCCGGGATGACGTTTTGCCTGAGTCCGTTGGTGAGAGCCAGCCCTAACCTGCAGTGGAACCAAAAGGGAATGGCGCCGGAGATGGTGTACTCCGGCGAAATTAGATTATCCTCCAAAGCGAGTTTGCCCGGTGCGACGTCGTTGTGCAAGAGCAGATCGAGGAAACTTGCGGATTTCGGAAGGTTCAACTGCCACCATTAATTGGACATTGATGAATACAGTTAGCGGCCAAACGTTGACATTTGACCGCATCGGCGATTGCGACATTCTGCATAGATGAGAAAACTGTAATGGTTGGTTTTTACCCTCGCCTACTTTATATGTGTAGTAGAAGTATAGTATTCCGTAGGTGGGTTCATAATTTTTTTTTTTTTTTTTGCGATTTTAATATTTTCATACCACACATAAACAAAGTGCTGTTGTTGGTTTACATGTTAATGGTCATTACTCCGTATTAGGTACACAAAGAAAAACAAATACTCAGCGTCATTCCCGTGTTTTTGGCTTTTAGCTGTACCCCTGAAATACCATTCTTCTAATGCGCGTGCGTCCCAATTAAGTTTATGGTACTCCCGTTCTCATTTTAGTTTGGGAGAAAGTCCAAAAATGATACTATGATTTTTAATGAATCTCATATAGGACACTGAGGTTTAAAGTGAATCAAAAAATACAAATTAAAATCTTCTCCTTTACTTTTAACCACCCTTTTACTCTCCCGTTAAAGGCCCATTTCCCCCATTCCGCCTAACAACACTGTGCATAAAAGTCCAGCTCCAATCCCCCTAACTCTTCACCATCAAGCTCTGCAGCCATACTGAAGTCATCCTCCATTGATTCAATCCAGTGTGGAACGAATTTTGAGACGGCCTATTCAGGATGGAAAGAAAAAGAATTTTTAGGTTGTGTATATACAAACTGCCGTTTACTTGCCATTTACAATGTGGCCCTTCTCCACGAAGCCATACAATTTGGCTTTCAACCAAGTCGCATGAAAGCTTTGCCATTTACCTGCCATGATAGCCCAACTCAGAGAGCAATGGAGTTGAACCATGGCTAGCCCGTTGGACACGGTGTTGGAGCTCACTAAATTGGCTCAGGACAGGGAGATCGACTCCTTGGTGTACGCCCTGTAGATATCCTCCACTCTCAACGCCGCCGGCGTCCCCATTCCCTCCACCGGCTTCGCCACCATTCTCGTCTCTCACATTTGCTGGTCCAATAACGTTCCTAGAGCTTGGAAGTATCTCGAGAAATCCATGACTATCTGGGTTGTCCCTCCCCTCTTCGCCTTAGCTCTGCTCTCTATCAAGTCTTCATGTCTTCTTACTTAGAGTTGCAAATTGGGGGTTCTGAGCTTAAACGCAGGGAAACGAAAAGGGCATTTTAGTCTAGGGGAAACGGCAGTGGAATGGGAGAGTTAGAGGGTGGTTAAAAGTAGGGAAAACGGAAACTAATAATCCAACCTTTTAGCGGTCTTCTTTTAATAGTCCGACCTTTGCGTTATTCATGAATAATCCAACCTTTGCACCTCATCTTCATTCATTGGTCCCTGATCGGTAGATGACCTGCTATTCCGAGTTATTTTCTTATCTTTGCAAACTATTATACCATAAATTCTACCTTTCACAAAGATAATATTTTACAAATATAAGAAAATAACTCGGAATAGCATGTCATCAACCGGTCAAGGACCAGTGAATGAAGATGAGGTGCAAAAGTTGAATTATTCATGAATAACGAAAAGGTGGGACTATTAAAAGAAGACCGCTAAAAGGTTGGATTATTAGTTTACATTTTCCCTTAAAAGTAAAGTGAAAAGGTTTAATTTGTGTTTTTTGGTCCACTTTAAACCCAGTGTCCTATCCGAGATTCATTAGAAACCATAGTGTCATTTTTGGTCCTTATCCCTTTTGGTTTTTCCAAAAGTTTGACCCCCCAACTCCAAGGGTCTCATACGTCCCGGCCGACAGAGCATGTTAGATGTTGTAAATAACGATGACTCAACTAATCCTAATGGTGGTTGGTATTATACCGTGCACATCACAGACCCAATCCACCATATAGGAGTTGTGACCTTCACATGATCGCTGTCGGTTTCGATTCTTGGTCATTTGTTCAACTTTCCAACCATTTTACCAGTTAAGCTACCCGTGCGGGTTCCGGTTTCAATATAGTATTTTACTACTCCGTAATGTCCATATAATATAATGTTCCAGTGTTCCATAGAACAATAAAAACGTCGGACAAAAACTTAACGTATTAAGTTCAATGCGCACTTATGGCAATCGCAGAGCAAATCAGTATATCATATGTTGATCGCCATTACTCAAATTTAGGGTGTTAATTAATCAACTAGTCGAGCTTGAGTTCAGATTAAATCGAATCGTGGTTGGTGAAAAAAAAAACGAGTTCTACTCATACGGAAATATACTACATACATAACTTCACTAGAGTTCGAGTTTTGATCAGAGTTTCATCTTTTCTAGAAGTGATACTCCGTATGTTTTTCATAAACAATTTGATTTGTTATCACGTTTACACAAACATGTTTTACTGTAAATAAATTTTTAAACATCCAACCAATGTTCTAAAATTCTTGCCTAGTTGTCTCATGAAGTCTCTCTTTTCCGCATATGATTTATTCAAACTTAAGATAAACTAAGTTTGATTAATGCTGCTTAACATTGTCTAACATATTCAGTGACATGTGAGTTTCTAGTGTATTTTTAGCAGAAGATATTTATGTATATTTATTATCTATAGATCCGATCCCGATTCAACTATGGATACAGTGTAGTGCTCATATCTATCCATTCAAAAAAATCAATATTAACTAGAGATATTACTCGAAATAGAACTAAAAAGGTTTGAAAATTCCAAAATAGGACTGTCATGTTTTTTATTCCCAAAATAGGACTAATTATTGTCATGTTTTGGCAGTTCCAGACTTCAAACATGACAGTACTTTCCAAACTTGACAGTAATTACTCATATTTTGGGAATTTAAAACATGTCAGTTCTATTTTGGAATTATCAAACTGTTTTAGTCATATCGAGTATCTTACGAGCTTTTCGTGTCAAGTTTGTATAAAACTTCACTAAATTTGGTTGTGGTTCGAGTTAAGATTGAATCGCGTTGAGCTACCTAGCATCTAGGCTCGAGTAAAAACTGAATAAATCTCATGTAACTTGCAAAATGACTTGCTCTATTAGCACCCTAGCTAATCAAATTCCCTTTTGCTTTTCACCTCTCTTTTGAAAATAATCACACATTACAAGATCAAAGATAATACAATTTCTTTTCGAGGATTTTTGTTGTCCTCTTTTAATATTGAAATTTTAGTTACACTATACACTCTTATATTACACCCTTGTACAAGTAAGATATAATGTATAGAGAATTCTTTTATCTCCTATTGTGAGGTAACTGACTAACTTCCCTCCCAACTGACCGGATTTTTTGTTACAAGTTAAACTAAATAAATAAATTGACATACATCCGCACAATTCCACTTTCTGATTTAATGGGATAAGGGTCAATTTGGTCCTCGAAATTGCAAAAAAGGGGTCAAATAAGTCCTTGTATAGAAAATTCTGTCCGGACGTGCCATTTGAGGTGGCTCCCGGTGGAATTTTTTGATGAATTTTTTTGAGCATCTTATTCATTAAGTCTAGTTTACTCATACCAAATTTCAAATAAAAATTCAATCGGGAAGACATTCAAATGAATTCTTGAAGATAACTGTGCCGTTAAAAGCGCAGTTATCTTCAAGAATTCATTTGAATGTCTCTCCGATTGAATTGTTAGCTGAAATTTGGTATGAATAAACTAGACTTAATGAATAAGATGCTAAAAAAATTTCATCAAAAAATTCTATCGGGAGCCACCTCAAATGGCACGTCCGGACAGAATCTTCTATATAAGGACTTATTTGACCCCTTTTTTGCAACTTCGAGAACCAAACTAACCCTTTACTCCTGATTTAATATAGATTGGAATTCTTAACACATGAAGGTGTGATGTCCCAATATAGGCAAAGAAGTTCGTACAATAAAGCGATCTGAGTTGCTTTAGCTAGGATCTGAAGCTCATTAAGGGGCTGTTTACTTGGGACTTAATGGATTTCATGGACTTAATGACTTAACCATTAATTCGTTAAGTCGTGTTTACTTGGAACTTAATAAAACAGGTGACTTATTCGCTCAGACAAGGTGTGACTTATTCGTTCAGCTGAAAATATACACTCCTCTGGCTTCAGACACGGAACAGGCCCCTGTTTCCCTATTTTAACCCTAGGCAATAATTTCTTTTATCATCCTTGGAACATCGGGTTCTTCTTTGACGGACGATAGAGAGCAAGGTCGCTACTCTTCTTCTTGAGTAGACAATTTCATCACTGCAGGATCTACATCTTCACTACCGATTTATCTAGATAACTTCTGGAATTGTTTATTTTTTAAATTTCATACTTTTTATATGGATATACAATTGCCTTAATATATGCTCTGCTCCTTCAATTTTGAACCAGGAGCAAACTCTCAAAGTAATCCACTTGCTGACTTGCATACTTGGCTGAATTTAATTGGAGGACAAACCATAGAATAAGTAGATCTTCATTTTTACACTTTCGTGAATTGAAAGCTGAAATTAGGCTTTTGAAATCGGGTTTTATTTCAAAAACTAAGTTGAGCATGAAACGTTGTTTCCAGACAATGGTTTCAATTTTATGGATTTTTGTTTTTTGCTGGGTTTTCAAAGATGCCTCGACGGTGTCATTTCAGGGTGTTGTTCTTGCTGCTTCAGATTGAAAATCATAGAGTAAAACACCTCGGCTGTGAAGTGAATTTTTATTTCACAGTTTTGTTTAAAAAACAGATCTTTGATTTTATGACTTATTTAATTATTTTCTAGTATATAAATTTTCTGGTGAAAAAACTCTTTTATTTAAGTAATTCATTGTATTATTATTTTCCGGTATATAAATTTTATTTTTCAGAACGAGGAAAGTAAACAGACAATATACATTCAGAACTTGTTATGGACAGGAGGGTTATTTGGTCATTTGACATGATTCACATTTCTCATTCAGCACACTTAGTAAACAGTTTGTTATCTCAGTGTAACATAATCCAGACAGACAACTTAATGCAGACAGATGTCTTAATCAATTCAGGACTTAATGAAGAAAAAAGTAAACAGCCCCTAAATTTAATTGAGGAGCGTTGATAAGTGGGACTTTGAGCGGATTTATTGCAAATGCTACTACGTACTACGTATTTATTTGTGTAAACAGGGTTGAATGATGTGGCAATGGTTACTTCACTTGTAGATGCTCAGACTTTTCCCAATCCAAGCATGGATGGCGATTCAAAAATACGTGATTGCTACCGTAGCCATAAATACATGAGATGTGATATTTGATTGATTATTTAGGTCATTATTTTATCATTTATATTTAAATTATTCAATTGCAATACTTTAAATTATTTATATTATAAATTTTGCCTTCAGAATAATTTGTTGGAATTTATGGAGAGT